CACAAATAAAAGCCAATGTGTACAGAACCCCCAAAGCAGTCAGGAAGGCTAAAACCCCAGGCCCACCCCCTAAGGTTTATTTCATCCCTCCAGGTCTGGGTTGCCTCCACCTCCAGGCACCGAGAAACTGCCCCTCCCAGCCCTTGCTGCTTCACCGAGGCACCAAGTGCCGTCTCCCAGGACTCAAGGGGGTGAGAGTAGAGGAGAAGCCCACCCAAAGCCAATTTTGCCTCCAATAGCCCATCAAGGCTCAAGAGCTCACACTCCAGCCCAAAGAACCCAGGGCAGACTGCTCCTTCAGCTAGGGGAGAGTCTGGGACATGAAAAAATGATCCCCTCCTCTTCAGGGGTGGGGGAGCAAGCCCAGGGCCCTGCAGCTTCCTCTCCCCCTGCAGCACTCTCTGACCAGAACCCTGCTGCCTCCCCCAGCGCATTCCCACCCCAGCAGAGCCCCCTCCTACCCGTTGCCCAGTCTTCCTGCTCATCACCCCCAGCCTTCCCCTCCACAAGCTTCTGCTCCTCTCCCTCGGACCCCCACCTTGCCGGGTCTCCCCCAGCGCAGACCCCTCCCTGTCTGAGCGCCGTGGCACCTTCCCCTCTGCTCCCCCCATAACCTCCTCTCCCCTTGGCTCCCCTCCCCCAGTAAAGCGAGTCCTCAGTGGTTCCCCCCAGACCAAGCCTCTGGCCCCTGCTCCTTTCCTCTCCACTTCTCTCTCCTCTCCAGCCCCCTCTCCTTCTCCTCCCACGAAGCCCAGTTCCTCGCTGGTTTCTCCCCTGCAGACCCTTCACAGCACAACAGCTCACAGCCCCTCTGGCCCAGCACTGCTTCCAGCTCCTGGGGTTCGCAAAAACTGGGGACCCCTCTTCAGAGCCCCTCTTCACAGCCCTCTGGATGTCCCTCCTTCCCTCCCCATCCCTTCCCCCAACGACCCTCCCTCTAACCCCCCTCCATTCGCCCCAGCTCAGGGCCAATGCCCCCTTCCACAGGGAGCTTCCGATCGCCAAGCCCCCCCAGCAGCTTCGCCTCCTAGCTGTCACCCAGCCAGACCTCTCAGCTCGGCGCCCCCGCCCCCCAA